TAATTCTAATAGTAGCAATAGAACAACTTATAGTTCCAGTACTAGTGCTATTAGTACGGTTGTAGTAGAACCGCAGCTACTAATACTAATGCTGTACTAATAGTAGCTGTGACAAGAGTATTACTGCTATTTGCCTCAGTAGTAATGCCATTTGCTAGTAATGCTAGTATCAAAACTAGTATTAATATGAACGCTAGTAACAAAACTACTAGTAGTGTCTTTAGCAGTAGAACTAATTGTAGCCACAGAAGTACTGACAGTACTATTACTAACGGTGGTACTGCTATCGTGGCAGTACTGGTGCTATTAATCCTATTGTAGTAGTAGCGGTTGCTGTAGTGGGGATAAGAGTATTACTAACATTAATATCAATAGTAATACTTTTAGTAGTATCAAAGCTATTGTCGTTAGCAAAAATACTTTTAGTGGCAGTAGAAAGCTCGACGTACCACTACTTGGGGCAATGCTACGGTCATAGCGGCACTGATGTTGCTAATACTTGTGTAGTACATCGTGTGAAAACAATAGTACTCCAGGGCCTTATTGCGGTCGCGTGACCGCGAGGAAGACCGAGGTATCACCTGATATATTTCATTACACAAAGGAAAGATGTGAACATCAGTCACGCTATAAGGATCGCGCAAAAGTGCGAGAAGTGGCTTAGAATATTACTGCTGATAACATTACCAGTACTAGTGCTGTACTGCCATATGGAGGAAGTTGACTCGACTAACAGACCACTGTTAAAGGGAACATCCTAGGAAAAGGAAGAATGCTGCACTACTATCTCTACAATGCCAATAGTAATACTAGTGGTATTAATGTTAGTGGTACTTCTGGTGGTGCTCTCGGTAATACTAGTGCTACGATTACGTCCACTAGTAATATTGGTGATAGCGCGAGTACTAGCGAAAATGGCAGTTTCAGTTGCAGCAATTTAATAATTTATTAGATTTGGTAACAGACTTGGTATGGGCTAAAAGTGACTCTCTCTGAAGGATCTGAAAAACAAGAGTTCGTTTTAAATTAGATTTCGGGTATTTGATTCTTGGCCAGAATTTATATTGATAGGCCGTTGAACGATTCATGGTTCAAGGTAGCAAATACAACAAATGGTAAAACTGTTTATTGCCAATACGATTCACTGCATACAGCGTAGCATCACTTCTGGGTTCATGAACATCAGCAATTGAGGTTTTATGACATTTTATTTAATTTCTAGCAATCCTGTTATACTTCTGGTGGAGGACGCGGTGAGTGACATGAAGAACAGCGGCGACAGATGATGCATATACGTTTGCAGTAGAAAATGGCTTACATTGTAAACGTGAAACGCTCAAGGAATTGATCAATTCCCGTTGTAACGTATGGTTTAAACTAGCGATGAATTTAAACCGTATTTTCACCTAAGCTAACGATACATTTCTTCGTGCTGCGCATGTCATATGGCTAAAATTTAGATCTTTTAGATACGCCATGAGCACGGGTATAAACACCGAAGTGCAGGAGGTGGTGTTCGTTCGTGAAGATGATTCTCATGAGCAAAATGAGTCAGAGGCGCAGTACGGTGCTCGCCACGTGATTATGCTCTTCGCGCCCGTCTCTGTGTGCATGCTGGTCGTCGTTACCACTTTGAACACCGTCGGCTACTACAGTTCAAAGGATGTATATTTGTATGTAGCTGTTTCTTATCTTTGTTTGACACTATATCAGTTTTCTATTGGCTTTACTTACATGTTCAACTGCAGACAAGGGGATGAGGTTGTACGTAAAAACGCTGATAGAAATTAATTAACAGCAAATTGACTATCCTCTTTGACGACCTAGAGAGTAATTAAGGTTCAAAGCGCGAATTATGAATACTGTAGGTTTCGGAAGTGAATGGAGATGAAAATGTAAATAATGAAGTACAGCACGTGAATGAAGGTTAAAACGATACGGTGACAATACGAAAAAGTCTAAATAAAAAGGCTAAATACAGTGAAGAAAAAAAGACCGAAAAGATACCATGAAGATGAAGAATTTAGTATAGAAGTTAAGGGAACAATAATGATTATGAAAAAGAGGACAATAAAAAGGAAAAGAATCGACATCGACAGCTGGCGAAGTTAAAAAGAATAGAAATAAGCAATAGAAAATGGCAAAGATTCAAAGAAACTAAAGCAAGCAAGAAAGATACGGAAGGAAAGAACTTCAGAATGAAGAAGTTGGTATCAAAAATGAAAGCGATTTAGATGAGAAAGAGGATAATAATGATGAGATGAAGATAAATGAAGCTGTTGGTGGACAAGGGAGAAGAAGAAAAAAGTTACGCTACCTGAAATTAAGCAGGTGAAAATGAACGAGAATTATAAGTTGAGCAAACGAATCAAGTTGTTGAAAAAGTCTAAAAAATGTATTGAAAAAAATAATTCTAAAGCGTTTACTGTTTAAATTAATGAACATAGCTCGTAAAGCCAACACCGACTAACATTTCAGCAATCGCTGACTCATTTCTATAACGACATTGATACTATGCACAAAAACTACGAAAATACACAGTAGTGAGATAAGGAATAGTAATAACGAAGAGCAACCGAGAGGGTTCTCCTATTTACTCTGGCTCGATGATGCCATGACTGGAGATGGTTGAGCTGAGCTATATAAATTGTCAACCTGTTGAAATGGTTTACCTCCTTGATAATGCGAAGAATG